GGCCTCAGGCTGAGAAATTCCTCCTCCTTACTATTCCAGGCACAAAATAAAAGCAGCAGAGAACAAGGTCACTGTGGCCTCTGGCCACTCTTATTTACCATCTTTTCCTTTAAACCAAAGTCCTCTTGTTTGGAAAATTGTTTATTTCTCCAGCTACTAGATTCAAAACTTCCCATGGAGTGACCCACAGTGACCTTGGACATACCTGGGACCACTTCTGGGGGGTGTGGTGGGCTTTGTCCACTACCCATGGAGAAAGGAACATTCCCCTTTGTGCCCAGGGGGGTTAGCTCTCCACAACTCCCAGCTCCACTGCACCCGACGGCCCAGCGACTTCCAGCTGAAGCCAGGTTCTGCCTGCCCCACACCTACTCTCATTACCAGACAACAGAACCTGTTTCGAACTTAATTGTTTCTTTCATCCAAAATTGCTGCCCGGGGATCCCATAATAGAGGAGCAAGTGGATTTAATTGTTCCTCAGTGCCCAGCGCCTGGGTGACTTGGAACTTCACACAATAGAAAGACTCCAGTGTTCATGGGCTTGTTCACTCTCAATTGCCTCTTTAATTAAAACTGGGCTCCTGGCTATTATGTGTGCCCCACTTGTCACTTCTGGGAGGGGGCAGCCCTCACTGTAACTCTGGTGTTCTTTCAGGGAGCGGAACAGCCATGTCTTCCCTGGGGTTACCTGGTGCTGAGCAGAGAGGAGGTAAAAGCTCCATTTACTGTCGGTGGATGTTGGCTGTTGCTTCATCGACCCTGCTCTTTAACATCAGCATGTGGAATATTAAAATGCCACAGAGGGCCACTCAGCTCAACGTAATGGACTGTTCTGTTTGCTCTGGGCTGGGCCCTGAGCAGGGTACTGGGGTGGCTGGGATGCCCCCGACACAGCCCCTGGCCTCAGGGAACTACCAGCTCAGAAAAACAAAGACTAAAATGAAATGATCAGACTCAACGCCTCCACTTTCAGAGAGGAGAGTGAAGCTTGATTTCAGTGGGGGGGCGACAGGAATAGAGCAAAGGCCAGAACAAGGGACATCTAATGGAGACAGTGCGTTAGGTCACCTGATCTTAGGGGCACTGAGCCTGAACTCAGATAAATGCAGACGCACACAAGGCTCATCCCCCAGACCTCCGGTCCTGCCCCTCCAGGCACGGGCACTCCAAATCCACACAGCATGTCCCCAATTGGTCTTCTTACCAGCGCAGTCCCCCTCCATACCTAGCACCTGACAACAGCAAACAGCAAGGAAGTCAAAGCCCTTCAAATCTTTGCTTACGCCCTGTAGTTCTTCAAGGAGCAGGCACTGAAGGAGGATGCGGGCCAAAGCCAGGGCTGGGTGTTTGCCAGTGTGTCAGTGCAGGCCAGGTCTCAGCATCCTGATAACGGGGGGAGGTGGCACAGGCTGGGGCATGAGGCTGGCCTTTGCAGCGGGAATTGGGCTTCAATCTAGGGTGGCCTTGGGCAAGTTTTATAACTTTGCTGAACCCCAGTTTCCTCATCTGTAAAATGGGGCTAATCAGAGTAACTATCTCATGACTTTGTTGTGAAAATGCCTGGCACAGAAAACGCACTCCATAAGTGGCGGCACATTCAGTATTATGAAGGCCAGACCACACACCTTGTTTTCTCCCCAAGGGACGCAGCTGCTGTCTTCCTTTTCTTACTTACGTACCTTCCCATAGTCCATTTATGTCAATGATGGTTGAAAGGATATTTTTCTGACATCCAGGCATTTGATTTCCTCCATTTGGATAGAAATCCAGATGGCCCACCTTTTGGCTCATTCCAAAACCTGAAACATTGGAAGGAGAGATGAGCAGGGAGGTAAGTGGTCTCAAAGTGAGGTGGTGGCCACAGAGAGTGTCAACTTGTTGCAACCAGAGTGAGAGTCTTCTTGGCAAATTCTCCCCGAGCATGGCCACTCTGTCTCTGTCTCTGCGGAAAGTTCTCAGAGATGAGCACTTGCCAAGGACAAGGAGATAGCAGAGGAAGTGAGATGAGGGGGAAGGGAGGCTCTGGGTGAGTATGCACACATGTGTATTTGTATGTGTGACTGTCGCCTGTCTGTCTTGGAGACACCCTGAACAATACTTATATGCCCTGATACCACTGTTCACCAGTAGACACATATCAGGACTGCTGCAATTTTTATTACTTTCAATAAATTTTAAAAATTTGATTTCTATGTTATATTGTTATATGGAGAGAACATAACATTATATTGTTATTTTAAGAGCCCAGCAAAATGGCTAGGTGCTTTGGGTTTTGAAGCACACAGACCTGTGATCTACCTACAGACTCCAGGATCTTAGGCAATTACTTGACATTGTTTACCCCTAGTTTCTTCAGCTATGAAATGGTAACAATAATATCTACTTTTTAGAATTGTTACAATGATTAATGAGCTAATGAGTACAAAATGTTCCATATAGACATGGTAAACACTCAATAAGTGATATCATCATCATCATTATTATTAAAAACATATCCTTTATTGGCACATTTCATGAGTGGTTGTATAAGAAAATATTGAAAAAAATGTTGATTTTAGAAGAATTAAAGAAAAGGATATATTTAATCTCCCGTAAAACAAACTGTAACCAAAGCTTTGGCAAAAAAAGTAAGAAAAAATTTCAAAAATTAACTGAATTTTGCAAGTACAGGTCAAGCATCAGTAATGAACACATCTGCCACTCTGGATATTGGCAGACTAGGGAAGATGCAGGGTTTGAAGACTGAGCGACAACCTTCCACAGGCTGTAGAAGTGTTTTTTGTTCTGCCTGGGGCTGCAGGCTGATACCACTGGCACGGTACTGGCTGTTTATTTGTGGCTGGCACCCATTCCAATTGGTTGGTGCCCAAGCTATTGCTGTGATTAATCATTTTGAATACCACCCCTGCAGTACGTGTATGTCAAGGGGGGAGGGAGGTTGCCTAGACTCACTGTCATCAGTCATAGCTAGTCACCACGAGGCAGAATGAGGAACTCACCGAGGAAAGGAATTATGGGAGCAGAATCTGTGTGAATTGCATCCACAAACATGGCATCAGATGGGTCCAGGCGAACCTCCTCAGGTGTGCCCTGGAAGCACGGCTCTGCTGGATCCAGTCCTGAAAGGGGGGAGGTAGACAGTAGACCCAGGATCTAACCCCTGTACCCACAGAATCCTGGGGGTTCCTGGGCAAAGGGCCCCATACTCCAGCAGCCAGGGTTTGAGGAATTGTGTCTGCAGCTCCTGGTCTGCTTGGGAGAGAGAGGCTGGGACAGACAGGCTGCAAGTGGGGTCATTGCCTATCAAAGAACATCCAGAAATGCCCAGTGCCTGGGCTCCATGGAGGATCCAGTGGTGCCCCTGGCCCCTCATCTCCCTTTTCTTTTTTTCCCTCACACATGATACTACCTGGCCACTGCGCTCCAAGACTGCAAGCTCCCTGGATT